AACTGACTCAGTAACTCAAGAATGATGAAGAGGAGCTAATGGCAATGGAGTAGCAACAGGAACAAATCTGAACCAGTGTTACTTTGACACTGCCTCTTGCCTATTGACACCCGGATGTACTCAGTGGGTGTGTCTACACAAGACGCTTTACTGTACGGTAGACTAATCTTCTGCGCAGTAAAGCATCACTGTATAACCATGCACTGAGCTCCTGTGCAGTAAAATAAGCTAATGCACCTGTGTTTACAGGTCATAGATTTACTGTGCATTAGCTGATGCACACTAACGCATGTGTAGATGCTGACTGGGAACAGTTTGCTCCCAGGCAGCCCAGGCAGCAGGGTGCCCAGTGCTGCCTGTCTACGCCTGGATGTGGCAGGGAGCTGTGCTAGCTACAGGGACAGTTGTCTCCCTGCCATGTGGGGATTGGGACCGTCCTGATCCGCACACAGCCAGGAGAACTGTCCCAGTAGCCAGGACTGCTGCATCTCAGGCAGGTGGGGGTCAGGCTAGGACCAATCCCCACATGGTGAGAAGAGGCATCCCTGGCTGTGGGGGGGATAGCTATGTGGGGATCAGGGCCCTCCTGATCTTTAGGTGCCCAGGAGAGGCGTCCCCACCTGGCAGAGACACTGCCTGGCAGCCCACGTGGCAATCAGGAGAGTCCTGCTCCCCACGTAGCTGGGAAAGGTGTCCCCACCCAGCGGGGATATTGCCTGACAGCCTCACGGGGATCAGTAGGGTCCCGATCCACATGTGGTCAGGAGAGGAATCCCTACCCAGCAGGGATGCTGCCTGACAACACTGTAGGGATTAGGAGGGTCCCACCTCTCCCAGCCAAGTGGGGAGAGTCCTGATCTCCATTTGGCTACTAGGCAGCATCCATCTCTCAGCAGAGACACCTCTCCCAACTCTCCTAATCCCCCCATGGCTGTCAGGCAATGCTCCCCCAGGCAGAGATGCCTCTCCTGACCCTCCCGATCCCCATGTGACTACCTGGCAGCATCCCCACCAAGCCTTCCTGCTAAGTGGGGACACTTCTCCCAGCCTTTGGGGATTGGGTCCAACCCCCCCATGGCTGGGATTCAGTAGTCCTGGCTGTCAAGACAGCTGTTTCCCCCCACATGGTGGTTGGGACCAGCCCTGTGCCCCCTACCAAACAGGCTGACACTCCCCCTGGCTTGTGCATCAGGGACAAGCAGAGCTTAGGGGCAGGAACATCCCTGGTTTCAACTGCTCCAGTAGGGAGCAACCTTACCGGCACATGTGTAGGCCTTTTCCTAGGGTGCAGTTTACTGTGCCTTTTTTTAATGTGCAGTAAACTTAGTGTGCATTAATGGCATGTGTAGATGCACCCAGTTTGCAAACTCATAGAAACCTTTACAATACGATCAGCCATGAAGGGGTTCAGACTTACTCATAGTTAATATTTCGTTGCCTGCTCACACTCCCAGCTCCAGCGAATAAAACCCATCAGTGACACTGACATAATGACTCATTGACCTACGCCTTGTATATTGGGATGGGAATAATTTTGCTCTGAAGTCACCAGAATTAATCATTGGTTTTTCCTCTGGTAAGTAGGAGAAGGAGATGCTGTAGCTAAGACAATCTTTCATACTTAGTACTGTTTTTTGGTCTCTCTCCCTTATTAGTGCCTAGTTAGATGCAAAGAAGCATTTTGTTAAGAGCCCGGCAGTGCAGCACAGTACTTTCTCGACATATTTCTTCTATCCCTCCTGCTCCTGCTGGGCCTTGTTAAGTGTCAGGAAGGGGGACCTATGATTAAGTGCCCTGACCTGGATTCTTTTGCCCGCTCTGTCTCTGACATCTTGTGTGACCTTGGGGAAATTGTGGCATCTCTTCTGATCCGGAGATGCATCACTTGATAAAGAAGGATCATATTTTTTTCCTGCCTCACAGGGGTCTTGTAAGGTTAAATTAAAGTTTTGTAAAGATGGTTAGGGGGAAGGTGTTATATAAATGCAAGGCATTGATTTCCTGTTCAAGTAGTTGTTGTCAACCTCACATCTCTCAGAGCTCCTGACCTACTTTTCAGTTTCTTCTTCCAATATGAATAATATTACAGACATTATTTATTCCTTCTAATTATTTTTCCCTTCAAGCCAAAGCCAATCATTATTAAGGTTGACTGGTCTCCAGTCCCTAATCCTTTAAAGTGGACAGTTGTCCTGTGATACCAAGAAATAAAACAAACAGTTGACATAAACAGGTGTCTCTTCTAGTACTTCATGTCCTACACATTGGGTTTCCAACCTATGCTCATAACCTCATTTGATGGTCAAGTCCTCAGACACGTCAGCCTTTTCTTTTGTTGGAAAACAGGTTTTCATATGGAAAAAGAAATGGAGAAACCCTGGCATTTAGTACTTTGCCAGCATTTCTCAAACATCAGAGCAGGTGAGAGCTGCACACGCTCCCCACAGTCCTGCCCTGAAGGGTGGCAATCTCCAGCCAAAAATAAGTGAAATTAACCCTTTGAATTCCATGCACACTCAAGTTTTATGAGGCCATTTTCCTAGCATAAAAAAGCGAGATTCCTGAAACAAACTCCAGCAACCACTCCCCTTAGACCCGCCAGGACTTGTAATTCTTTGCACTAAGCAAAAAACCATCTCAAATTAGTGAGAGTGGCTCTGGATGCAGCTTTTAGTGCTGCTTTTGCTGTGAGCCCAGATTTATTGAGCGATTATTCAACCTGCCCAAGAAGCAGAGTCCATTGCTATTTCTTACTATTTCTTGGGATGCTTCAGTGCACATGTGAAATCAGATTAATGTTGAGTGCTATGGGAAAACCAGTGCAAGCCAGGATACTAAGGCAAGGCAGGAGGTGCAATAAATATTTAAGCTGTTGCAAATGTGAATGCAACACTTCATAAAAACCTCATCCGGAAATGCAGAGGGGCAGTGGGTGCAGGGAACAAACTTATGGAACAACCATAACAGTGTTGGACTTCTCAGTGAAGAGCAGTGTAGGGGTTTCTTCAACATTTAGGGCCAGGTCCAAGCAATAATGTATAAGTCAGACTCTCCTAAGCTGCTCTGGACTTACCGTTGTGTCAGGGACTGTAAGGCAGTCTAAGGGGGTGAAATACATTTTCAGAAGGCAAAAAAAGGATCTTAGTCCACATGGGGGGCAACCTAGCTTACTGTATTTTACATCTTTCTACCCTCCTAAAAGTTGCTTTTTTCCCTACTATCTCCTCTCTTAGCATGAGATTTGGAATGATTCAGGCCTGAGTACTATTTCGGAGCCTCTCTGAGGAGAGGATTAAAAAAAAAATTGTCCAACAGTGAGCGGATGTGAAACCCAGTGCATGCAGTACAGGCGCGGAGGGCACTGGAGGCAGGTGTAAGATCCAGTGACCAGAATCCCTCTCCAGATTTCCGCAGCCTCATTCAGACATACCTCGCTCTTCAGCCCTCGATTGCTTGCAGAAGAGCAAGCACTTCATTTTCCTTATGATCTAGCTGCTTTTCTGTTTCTGCTCTGCCGAGTAAACAGAAAAATATAGCCCTCCACAGCAAGCGTTAAGTATTAGCTGCCTCCGTATATGTCTGACAGGGCTCCTGCCCACTCATCCCTCTGTGCTCATATAGAGGAATAAACCACCGTCTGACCTTCTGGACTCTCCGAGGGATGTGATTCAGAGGTAGCAGAATTAGCACGGCTGCCACCACTAAACAGCCCCCAAGGGCACCCTTGGCCAGTGCTATAGCTCTGCCGTTATCTTTGACGAACACCATGAGGCTGCAGAGCTACACTGTGTTGAGGGGTCGAGGGGCAGACAGGAGCATGCTACAACTTTTCATCAGTGAGTTCCTTTCCCAACCAGTCTTAGAGACATTGAGTCTGCCCCTGCCCCAAGTCCACGCAGTTATGCCTAAAATGCATGATGTCAGATATGTTGCGCCCATCATATTTATTGGCCATATGGTTTGATTCATAGAGAGTAAATCAAAATGCAGAACATATTACTGTGACATGAACTGTATTCTGAGTGGGCTGCTGTCATCACCATGTTCTGGGAGAGGACCTTGCCATGTGAATGTTGTCGTTTTCCTTGTCCAAATGCTGTTGTTTAATTCCCTGTCCTTTGGTATTTTTAGGAGCTGGTGGGAAGTAATCCTCCACAAAGAAACTGGAAAGGAATTGCAATTGCATTACTTGTTATTCTGGTTATCTGCTCCCTGATTGTCACCTCTGTTATACTCCTGACACCAGGTATTTATAACCTTTAACTCATTCTCGGTCTTCCTTTTTCTTTTTCATGTGTAATTTTCCAAGGGCAAGGCAATGTCAAGAAGGAATCATAATTGTCTTTCCTGTTCTTTCGTTCTGATGCAACGCCTGTTGTGATAAATGCAAAGACTCTGTTTGAATTTGTCAAGCTTTGCATCAGGACCCAGAAATTTATTTTTTCCAAGAATATAGCAGACAAGTATTAGATTTACTTTTTATTAGAGTAAATAATTTGTACTTCCCACTGGGTAATTCTTAAATTTCATCTTATTTAGCAAGCTTTAGCTATTTTCTGTTCACATCGTCCTTGTTAAATTATTTCTCTTGCAATAACTGCCTAAGTACCGGGCAGAGGCTGTAGGCTTGAATTTTAATGGACTATCATTATGTTTATTGATTATTACATATTTCCATGGCCTCATAAATTTCCATGCCTATTTACAGACTAGAAATAAGACACTTTCTCTGCCTCACAGAGCTTATGTTCTAAATAAGAAAGAACAAAAAATGTAAGACAAGACAGAGGAAAGTTTAGAGGAAAATAGAGGACAGAGGATTTTCCTGGAGATATTGGTGTGAAAGAGTAGAAGGGAGTGTTCTTCATGGATGAGTGCAGGTGAGTGGGTACAGGTGTAGGGATCAGCATGATAGAAAGCATGAACAAAAGAGAGAAAAGAGAGAGAGAGAAGTGAAACAATATGAATACGAGCAAAAAGCCTGGAAGTGAAGATGAGAACGCGGGTGGAAGCTTGAAGGTAGGAGCTTTATAGTGAGTGTAGTGCTATGCAGGTATTGTGTCATCATAATCTCTTCAGCAAATTTGGCCTCTCTTTTGTGGAGTCTGTAGTCCTGCAATACAACTAGGCTAGAGGTTGCGGACGACCCAGAATGATCAGGAAATGATGGTTTTATAAAATTTACATATGAAAAGAGACGAGGTGGTTGCTTACAGCTATTTACCTTGATCCCACATTCAGTTGATTTTATGCTGCTCCTACATTTTGAGTATGTAGCAGAACTTTGGGTTTGGTCCTCGGCTAAGTGTAAAAAGGCATAGTGAGGCTGACTGCAGTGGAGCTGTTCAGCGGTATATGGGCAGAGCCTCTAATTGCTTGTACTGAAAACACACAGCTGCTCTTACAGAATTCATCAAAGTGGAAGTGGAGGGTTCTGCTAGCTGGGATCAGGGATAGTTGAAGCCTTTTATGTCTGAGAAGAACATAAGTGGCAGGCTTTATGGAAGAAGCACTTTAGTTGTAAGTTTGTGCAGCTCCCCTTAAGAGCAGGCATAGGTATGGTTGAACATATACCTCGGCAGCTAAGTACAAACAGTCAAAAAGCCTGAGGCTGAATTGATTTATTCTTTGCAGGTTAGTCTAAGCTGCAAAGATTGAACCAATAAGCAAATGAACAGACAATCACTTTTGATTCAGGAAATGCAGCCACATGTCGCAGTGGCTCAAACCAGAAGCTGGGGGGCTCTGGAACATGAATGGTGTGTGTCCCTGGCGGCTGGCGGGGCACGGCGGTGGTGGGAGCGTGGAGGTGGCAGCAGGAGCATGGCGGTGGTAAGCGGGGGAGCTCCCAGAGACACCACCGGTGCTGTTGGCGGCAGGGTGAGGGAGTGGTGAGCGCTGACCAAGGGGCGGCGACCACCTGCAGGCGGCGGTGGAGGTGGCAAGCGGTGATCACAGACCCTCCTCTGATGCTGCCTGCAGTGTCAGCAGCAGGATGTCTGCAGTGCCTTTTTGCAGGGGGTGCATGGCCACGCTCAGGGGGATGCATGTACACCCACATGCACCCCATACTCATCGCCTGAACCAAATTCCACCATTTTTAAACCAGTCTATGCGTGCTGAACTTCAGTTCTGTTGTGGGTATAGACTGGTTTCCAATCACTTATACTGGTAAAAGTGTAATGTCTGTACTGGGCTGTGGTGTGTGAATCTGAAAAGAATCCAGGAAACTTGGGATCAGTTCCTGGCTCAGCCACAGCCTTCTCGTCTGGCCTCGGGCAAGTCATTTACTCTACTCTGTACTTCAGTTCTCTCCCTCCCCGTACACTCCTTGGGTAGCTGAGAGGATAAAAACCTTTAATGACTGAAGTAGTTGCATACTGCATTGGAAAGGACAAGATAGGCACCTTGACAGAAAAAGTATTGCTTTAAGAGCCAGTAGGTTAACACCTTGTTGTCAATGGAGCAATTTGCTGTAACTCAAAAGACTGCTATGACGCAGGCGTGATGAGCTATTATACTATGTTCTACATAGGGTAAGGTGGGTAGGTGTGAGGTGTACATAGTCTATATTTCATGTCAATATACATACATCTGTACATAGGTGTGTATCGATGCACACGTACAGGCATTGGCTCTTGTGGAATATACATGTATATGTGTATATACATCGAGCAAATAAGTATGTATTCAGTCAAAACAGAATACAGGGGCCTGACTATCAACCATTACTTCCAAAAGGGATTTTTTTTTTTACATCAGACCAGTCCTATCAAAACAGAGTTTCTCCATATAGATTTCCAGCCTTGGTTTCTAGATTTCAAACTGTCCAGTTGGCTCAGACTGGGTTGGAAATAATGTGTTTTCCTTTCCTCCCAGTAAGTCTCAGTTAATTCTGCCACTTGTGCTTTTATGGAAAGCTTTATTCTTCATCCAGGCTGCTTCACAGTGAGACTGCCAGTAGGAACATTGCAGAATTTAGGCTGCCATTGTGGCTTCACAGTGGCTGTCTTTACCCTTTCTCAGGCTACTTGACCTTGTTACAAAGATGCATCCTGGCTTATATAGGATAACAGGGTGCTTATTTCACAAGTACCTCCTGCCAGCCAGTCTATAGCGAGACCTTAACATTAGCTTGGCTAGCCCAGGAACCATGTTCATTGTCCTGAAGATCAGTTGAGGAACGTTAGTGAGGACTGGTATCTCGCAGAAAGGTGGGAGCAGGGAAATCACCAGGGTGACATTTTTGTTTTCAGGTACAGGGGAGAGTTCATGCTTGAATGCCATGAAATACTGGAAAAAAAAGAGATGTCCGTTCTTGGGGAACCAAACAACAAATTAGGACTGAGATGAGTAATGTAGCAGAGAGGCAGGAATGGCTACGGGTATGGTTATAACTCTAAAGCAGTGATTTTCAACTGGTGATCTGCAGACCCCTGGGGGCTGCAGACTATGTCTAAGGGGTCCGCAAAATATGACTATGATCAATCAAAAGTATGTAAATACCCACACTTACAATTCAGTGGGGTACATACCTCCATTTGAAATTTTTAGGGGTCCACAAATGAGAAAAGGTTGAAAACCACAGCTCTAAAGCTTCATCTATTCACTCAGACCCTATACAGCTTGATCTAAAATTGTTATTCATTGTTTGTATCATGGCAAGGCCCAGGAGCCCCAGCAGGACAAGGAACTAAGACCCTTATAACAGAAGACAAAAGGACACATTGTGCTCCAAGGGCTTGTGGTCTAGGGTAAAGCAGGAGAGAGACAGCTGGTTTCAGACCGAGAGCTGGAGTGGCACCAAGAGATAATAAGATTGGTCCGCATGACAAGCAGTTGACTCCACAGACCAGCTGCCTCACTGGCGTAAAACTTTTGTAGGCATTGGAGCAAGGAGAGTTCTATGGAGGAATACAGGAGATGTCAGCGCAGTGACTCTGAGGTTGTGTATAGGGAGCTCCTTGTGTGAGGGCAACACAGAGGCAAGCACAGGTGGGCTTGTTTGATAACGTAACCAATGGGCAATGAAGTCTGGTGTCAGACCCTTCAGACCTGTTGAGATTAGTTAAAAATCAGCTACTCTCCCCAGGAAATAGTGTGCTTCTTCTAATCCACCTGCCTCATACAATACCCATTGACCGGTTTCTCCTGGCCTGATGTTAAAAACCCCTCCCTCCAGCTACCCTACTCATTGCTGAATTCTCCCTCCTCAACAAATGGCTTGCTGACATGAAGGCAGCTATTGCTTTAGTTCAGGGTTGTCCACCTGTTGGCCCAGGGGCCACATGCAGCCCCCTCAGAGCTTAATTTGTGTCCTGAAGGCTCCCATGCAGCAAATGGTCCCCCGTTACTCCAGCTACAGCAGCAGCAGCTTGGCTCTCCAGACTCCAGCTTCCTTCTCCAGCTCCACTTAGCAGTAGAGCATAGTGCAGACTGCATACTGGGGCCCCTGTGCAGCACAGTGCAGTGAGGGTGCTCGCAGCCGGGGGACTGAAAGAGGCTGAGGTGCCGACATAGCGTGTGGCCCAGGGGACCTGTGGCCTGTACTACTGTAGTCCATGCACCTTGCAGCCACGGCTGGTATGGCCCAAGGCAGGACAAAGCTGCTGGTTGCTTAGAGGTTAGACAGCTCTGCTTTATTTCACTGCCATATGGGATGTCAGGCCACCCTCTTGGTGCTTACCCTTACACCCCCTCCTGCAGTGCAATGCCACAAGTTACAGCGCATTGACATTCAGCACCTATGATGAACTTGATATAAATGACTAAATATCACATGTTAGGAATGCAGTGCGAAACACAGACATAAAGTCCAGCTCAGCAAAGCCATAATGGCAACCAAGACCTCCATCTTCCCCAGTGAAAGGCAGGGGACATTCCTGAGAGCAAGAGGTAGGAGAGTCATTGCAGAGAAAAGGGAGCATTCCCTTGGTGACCACATCCTGGTGGACTGAGCCAAGTAATTGAGGAAGAGGATTTTATACATCTCCTCAAGTTTCTTTTCCAAATCGATCCAAACCTTTAGAAAAAAGGTTTTAACTCTGGTTGAGTTTCTGATAAGGCTGAGATTCATGCTGTTTCAGATTTTTCAGAAGCAGGTCACTCACCCTGTTTTAAGATGATGTCTATAAATTATGAATGCAGTTTTTGTTAGACGCAGTAGAAATTCTAATGACTGACAGCCGTGCTTTATGGTTAGCTACTTTTTTTTGTTGTCCTTATTTTACAAAATCCTACTGAAAT